GTTCCCCTCCCTGTGTCCATGTGTTCTCATTGTTCAACTCCCATTTATGAGTGAGAACATGCAGTGTTTGGTTATCTGCTCCTATGTTAGTTTGCTGAGGATGATGGCTTCCAGCTTCATTCATGTCCTGAAAAAGGACATGTTCTCATTCTTTTTGTGGCTGTATAGTATTGCATGGTGTACATGCACCAGATTTTCTTTATCCAGTCTACTATTGATGAGCATTTGGGTTGATTCCACGTCACTACTATTGTAAATAGTGCTGTAGTAAACATAGGTGAACCTGTGTCTTTACAGTAGACTGATTTATATTCCTTTGGGTATATACCCAGTAATTAGATTGCTGGGTCAAATGGTATTTCTGGTTCTCGATCCTCGAGGAATCACCACAGTGTCTTCCACAATGTTTGAACTAATTTATATTCCCACCAACATTGTAAAAGTGTTCCCATTTCTCCTCAGCCTCGCCAGCATCTAGTTTTTCCTGACTTTTTAATAATCGTCACTCTGACTAGCGTGAGATGGTATATCATTGTGGTTTTGATTTGCATTTCTCTAATGATCAGTGATGATGAGCTTTTTTCATATGTTTTTTAGCCACATAAATGTCTTCTTTTGAGAAGTATCTGTTCATATATTTTGCCCACTTTTTGACGGGGTTGTTTTTTTCTTGTAAATTTGTTTAAGTTCCTTGCAGATTCTGGATATTAGATCTTTGTCAGATGGGTAGATTACAAACATTTTCTCCCATTCTGTAGGTTGCCTGTTCACTCTGATGCTAGTTTCTTTGCTGTGCAGAAACTCTTTAGTTTATTTAGATCCCATTTGTCAATTTTGGCTTCCATTGCAATTGCTTTTGGTGTTTTATTCATGAAGTCTTTGCCCACGCCTATGTCCTGAATGGTATAGCCTAGGTTTTCTTCTAGGATTGTTATAGTTTTGGGTTTTACATTTAAGTCTTTAATCCATCTTTAATTAATTTTTGTATAAGGTATAAGGAAGGGGTCCAGTTTCAGTTTTCTGCATATGGCTAGGAAGTTTTCCCAGCACCATTTATTAAATAGGGAATCTTTCCCCATTATTTGCTTTTGTCAGGTTTGTCAAAGGTAAGATTGTTGTAGATGTGTGGTGTTATTTCTGAGGTCTCAGTTCTGTTCCACTGGTCTATATATCTGTTTTGGTACCAGTACCATGCTATTTTGGTTACTATAGCATTGTAGAATAGTTTGAAGTCAGGTTGTGTGACGCCTCCAGCTTTGTTCTTTTTGCTTAGGATTGTCTTGGCTATATGGACTCTTTTTTGGTTCCATATGAAATTTAAAGTAATTTCTTCTAATTTTCTGGAGAATGTTAATCATAGTTTGGTGGGAACAGCACTGAATCTATGAATTACTTTGGGCAGTATGACCATTTTCATGATATTGATTCTTCCTATCTGTGAGCATGAAATGTTTTTCCTCTTGTTTGTGTCCTCTCTTACTTCCTTGAACAGTGGTTTGTAGTTCTCCTTGAAGAGGTCCTTCACATCCCTTGTAAGTTGTATTCCTAGGTATTTTATTGTCTTTGTAGCAATTGTGAATAGGAGTTCATTCATGATTAGAATCTCTGCTTGTCTATAGGAATACTTGTGATTTTTGCACAATAATTTTGTATCTTGAGACTTTGCTACAGCTGTTTATCAGCTTAAGGAGTTTTGGGGCTGAGACAATGGGGTTTTCTAAATATAGAATCATGTCATCTGCAAACAGAGACATTTTGACTTTCTCTTTTCCTATTTGAATACCCTTTATTTCTTTCTTTTGCCTGATTGCCATGGCCAGGACATCCAATACTATGTTAAATAGAAGTGGTGAGAGAGGGCATCCTTGTCTTGTGCCGGTTTTCAAAGGGAATGCTTCCAGCTTTGCCCCTTCAGTTTGATATTGGCTATAGGTTTTTCACACATAGCTCTTATTATTTTTAAATATGTTCCATCAATACCTAGTTTATTAAGAGTTTTTTGCCTGAAGGGTTGTTGAATTCTACTGAAGGCCTTTTCTGCGTCTATTGAGATAATCATGTGGTTTTGTCATTGGTCCTCTTTATATGATGGATGACATTTATTGATTTGTGTAATTTGAACCAGCTTTGAATCCCAGGGATGAAGCCTACTTGATTGTGGTGGATAAGCTATTTGATGTGCTGCTGGATTTGGTTTGCCAGTATTTTATTGAAGATTTTCACATCAAAGTTCAGCAGGGATATTGGCCTAAAGTTTTGTTTTCAGTGGTTTCTCTGCCAGGTTTTGGTATCAGGATGATGCTGGCCTCATAAAATGAGTTAGGGAGGAGTCCACCCTTTTCGATTGTTTGGAATAGTTTAATAAGGAGTGATACCAGCTCCTCTTTGTACCTCTGGTAGAATTTGGCTGTGAATCCATCTGCTCCTGGGCTTTTATTGGTTGGTAGGCTGTTAATTATTGCCTCAATTTTAGAACTTGCTGTTGGTCTATTCAGGGATTCGATTTCTTCCTGGTTTAGTCTTGGGAGGGTGTATGTGTCCAGGAATTTATCCATTTCTTCTAGATTTTCTATTTTATTTGTGTAGAGGTGTTTGTAGTATTCTCTGATGTTAATTTGTATTTCTGTGGGATCAGTGGTAATATCCCTTTTATCATTTTTTATTGTGTCTATTTGATTCTTCTCTCTTTTCTTCTTTATTATTCTAGCTAGTGGTCTATCTATTTTGTTAATTTTTTCAAAAAATCAGCTCCTGGTTTCATTGATATTTTGAAGGGATTTTCATGTCTCTATCTCTTTCAGTTCTGCTCTGACCTTAGTTATTTCTTGTCTTCTGCTAGCTTTTGAATTTGTTTGCTCTTCCCCTTCTAGTTCTTTTCATTGTGATGTTAGACTGTCGATTTGAGATTTTTCCAGCTTTCTGATGTGAGCATTTAGTGCTATAAATTTCCCTCTTCACGCTGCTTCAGCTGTGTCCCAAAGATTCTGGTACATTGTCTCTTTGTTCTCATTGGTTTCCAAGAACTTCTTGATTTCTGCCTTGCTTTTGTTATTTACCCAGGAGTCATTCAGGAGCAGTTTGTTTAATTTCCATGTAGTTGTGTGGTTTTGAGTGAGTTTCTTTATCCTGAGTTCTAATTTAATTGTAGTGTGATTGGAGAGACTGTTTATTATGATTTCAGTTCTTTTGCATTTGCTGAGGAGTGTTTTACTTCCAACTATGTTGCCAATTTTAGAGTAAGTGCCATGTGGCACTGAGAAGAATGTATATTCTACTTGTTTGAGGTGAAGAGTTCTGCAGATATCTATTAGGTCCACTTGATCCAGAGCTGAGTTTAAGTCTTGAATATCCTTATTAATTTTCTGTCTCATTGATCTGTCTGATATTGATCGTGGGGTGTTAAAGTCTCCCATTATTATTGTGTGGGAGTCTGTCTCTTCGTAGGTCTTTAAGAACTTGTTTTATGAATCTGGGTGCTCCTGCATTGAGTGCATCTATATTTAGCATAGTTAGCTCTTCTTGTTGCACTGATCCCTTTACCATTACGTAATGCCCTTCTTTGTCTTTTTCTGATCTTTGTTGGTGTAAAGTCTGTTTTGTCAGAGAGTAGAATTGCAAGCCCTGCTCTCTTTGTTTGTTTGTTTGTTTTGTTTTGCTTTCCATTTGCTTGGTAAATATTCCTTCATCTCTTTATTTTGAGCTTATGTGTGTCTATGCACATGAAATTGGTCTCCTGAATACAGCACACTGATGGGTCTTGACTTTATTCAATTTGCCAGTCTGTGTCTTTTAATTGGGGCCTTTAGCCCATTTACATTTAAGGTTAATATTGTTATGTGTGAATTTGATCCTGTCATCGTGATGCTACTAGTTATTTTGCGCACTAGTAGATGCAGTTTCTTCATAGTGTCACTGGTCTTTATATTTTGATGTGTTTTTGCAGTGACCAGTATGAGTTTTTTCTTTCCATATTTAGTGCTTCCTTCAGGAGTTCTTGTAAGGCAGGCCTAGTGGTGACGAAATCCCTTAGCATTTGCTTATCTGTAAAGGATTTTATTCCTTCTTTGTTTATGAAGCTTAGTTTGGCTGGATATGAAATCCTGGGTTGCTAATTCTTTTCTTAAAGAATGTTGAATACTGGACCCCACTCTCTTCTGGCTTGTAGGGTTTCTGCAGAGAGATCCGCTGTTAGTCTGATGGGCTTCCCTTTGTAGGTGACCTTACCTTTCTCTCTGGCTGTCCTTAACATTTTTTTCTTCATTTCGACCTTGGAGAATCTGATGATTACGTGTTTTGGGGTTGATCTTCTTGTGGAGTATCTTAGTGGTGTTCCAAATTTGAATGTTGAATTTGAATTTGAATGTCGGCCTGTGTTGCTAGGTTGGGGAAGTTCTCCTAGATAATATCCTGAAGTGTGTTTTCCAACTTGGTTCCATTCTCCCCATCACTTTCAGATACACTGACCAATCATAGGTTTGTTCTTTTCACATAGACCCATATTTCCTGGTGGCTTGTTTATTCCTTTTTATGTTTTTTCTCCAATCTTGTCTGTGTGTCTTATTTCAGCAAGGTGGTCTTCAATCTCTTATATCCTTTCTTCCACTTGATCGATTCGGCTATTGATACTTGTGTATGGTTTAGGAAGTTCTCGTGCTGTGTTTTTCAGCTCCATCAGGTCATTTATGTTCCTCTCTAAACTGATTATTTTAGTTAGCACTTTCTGTAACCCTTTATCAAGGTTCTTAGCTTCATTGCATTGGGTTAGAATATGCTCCTTTAGCTAAGAGGAATTTTTTATTACCCACCTTCTGAAGCCTATTTCTGTCAATTTGTCAATCTCGTTCTCCATCCAGTTTTGTGTCCTTGCTGGAGAGGGGTTGCAATCATTTGGAGGAAAAGAGGCATTTTGGCTTTTGAAATTTTCAGCGATTTTGCAATGTTTTTTCCTCATCTTCGTGGATTTATCTACCTTTGATCTTTGAGGCTGATGACCTTTGGATGGGACTTTTGTGTGGGGGTCTTTTTATGTTGATGTTGATGTTGTTGCTTTCTGTTTCTTATTTTGTCTTCTAACAGTCGGGCCCCTCTTCTACGGGTCTGCTACAGTTTGCTGGAGGTCCACAGCAGACCCTGTTTCCCTGGGTATCACCAGTGGAGGCTGCAGAACAGCAAAGATTGCTCCTTGCCCCTTCCTCTGGAAGCTTCGTCCCAGCAGGGCACAGACATGATGCCAGCTGGAACTCTCCTATATGAGGTATCTAGAGACCCCCGTTGGGACGTCCCACCCAATCAGGAGGCATGTGGTCAGGGACCCACCCAAGGAAGCAGTCTGACTGGCCTTTAGAGGAGCTGGCATGCTGTGCTGAAGGAATCTCTCTCACCCAGATCACCTAGACTCTCCAGAGCCAGCAGGCAGGAGAGATTAAGTCTGCAGAACCTGAGACCATGCTGCCCCTCACCTCAAGTGCTCTGTCCCAGGGAGATGAGAGTTTTATCTGTAAGCCCTGGAGGAGCTGCTAGATTTCCTGAAGAGATGCCCTGCCCAGTGAGGAGGAATCTAGAGAAGCAGTCTGGCCACGGCCACTTTGTCATGCTGTGGTGAATTCTGCCCAGTCCAAATCTCCCAGCCTCCTTAGCACTGTCAGGGGAAAACCGCCTTTAAAGCCACAGTAATGGTGGTCGCCCCTCCCCCCACCAAACTCAGACGTCCCAGCTCAACTCCAGACTGCTGTGCTGCCAGTGAGAATTTCAAGCCAGTGGTTCTTCAGCCCCTTTTCCAGGGGAGTGGACAGTTATCCTGTCTCACTGGAGTTCCAGGTACCGTTGGATTACAAAAAACCTCCTGCAGCTTGGTGTCTACCCAAACATCCGCCCAGTTTTGTGCTTGAAACCCCGGGTCCTGGTGGTGTAGACTCATGAGGGGAACTCCTGATCCGAGGATCGCAAAAATCCAAGGGAAAGGCATAGTACCCTGGGCAGGCAGCACAGTCCCTCACCATGTCCCTTGACTAGGGGAGGGAGGTCCTCCGGCTCTGTACACTTCTGGGTGAAGCAACGTCCCACTCTGCTTCTGCTCACTGTCTGTGGATTGTACCCACCGCCTAACCAGTCCCAATGAGATGAACTGAGTACCGCAGTTGGAAATGCAGAAATCGCCTGCCTTCTGCATTGGTCTTGCTGGAAGCTGCAGACAGGAGCTGTTTCTATTCCGCCATCTTGGCCCCTCCTGCCAAGCATCGCTTATTTAAAACATTTTTTATAGTTTTATGGTGCTGACACACAGGATATGCCTGAAATTTTGTAAAATAAATAACAATGTTCAAGCAAATAACACATTTATAAACCTGCTCCAAAGATGCAATAAATAACCTGGAAAGAAGTAACTCTATTCTCAGAGTTCCCAGGGCCCAGAAGAAGGGCACACAACCAACCAGCCCAGGGGCCCCAAGGCTCTGTCTCTACCCCACAAACAAAGCCTGAAATGCTGCGTTGAGGTCACTGCCCAGCACCGCCAACCCGGCCTCCAGGTTCAAGTCCCAGGAAAGTCAGAATAGAAGAAAATAGAAGTGAAGGAATCACTACTGACTAGGTCCAGGCTGTTTATTTTTATAATGTTAAATCACTCTGTGCAGGCCAGTAATATTGTCTGAGAATTACTTGAGAATTCTACAGTATAGCTGGGCTTTAATTTTTAAAGTAGAGTAACTCACAAAATTAGTGTATGATCCCATACTACATGTGGTTAATTTTGTCAGCTTGGCTAGGTTGTGGTACCCAAGTATGGGATTAAACATCAGTCTGGATGTTACTGTGAAGATTGTTTTTAGATGAGAAATGACCTCACTCTCTTGCTGAATACTTCCCTCCATTCTACTCTTATCAATATGAAAGCTTTTTACTGTTACTTCCAAATCCCACGTTATCAAGGTCTTTTCATTTTCTGCTCTTCCTGGAAAATTCTACCAGATATTTGCAAGTTGGCTCCTTCCCCTTCTACAGTTCTTAGCTTCAAGTTCACTTCCTTAGGTCTTTCCTGACCACTGTCTCTAAAGTGACCATCACACCACCTACCCAAATTATAATTATCTGCTTAGACTTCTCCTCATTTGGTATTTTTCTGATAGATTGATTGCAGTGGTTCCCATACTCATTTTGCTTGTGCTTTTATCTACAGAACTCCACTAGGGTGGATGGAGAGGAAGAGACTAAGGATTCACATCTCACAAAGACATTTATGGAAGACTGAGTGTGTTTCCAGTATCTTTCAGAGTTTGCAAATGAGGCGGTGCCCAGCATAGACAGGTTCTTTGCCCACCCATCCTGAATCCACAAGGCCATAGATGCAGACAGGATATTTAATAAAGTTCAACACTGAGGCCTGACAAACACTGTGCAAGAAAGCTCAAACAGAAAGGAAGTTTCTTATTCTGATTGAGAATACATCATACTTCTGGTATGCTACTGAAAGCTTCTGAGGTTGGGAATAAGACAAGGGCTCTGGCTGTCACCATTTCTCTTGAACCTTACAGTGGAATTTGGCATTCGGGAATTGCAAGTCAACACAGTGGCCACTCAAGGAGAAGCAAGGGGTGGCTGGAAGGAGAGGTGCCCCTGGAGTTCTGTAAAATCTCTTTCTTGATGTGCCTTTGAGTGTTCTCTTTGTGAAAATTCTTTGAACTGCACTCTTATGATTTGTGCATATTTCCCTATGAAAATTATACCTCAATAAAATATTGACTTAAATAACAGAAGCAATCTGGATGTCCATCATTGGGGGAATGGATAAATCAAAATATATTTCTATTGTGATAAGTTAGCCAACAGTTTGAAAAGAATAAGAGTGATCTGTATATGTTAAGTTGGAAAAAATCTCCAAGACATAATAGTATATGAGAAAGGAAAGTTGTCCCATATTCTCATTTGTGGATATGTGCGAATATTAAACATTTTTTAAAAGACTTAGAAAGGAGACAGACTGTAGAAGACAAAATGAAAATTCTGTTTTTTGCTCTATTATATTATTTGATTAGTTTGTAACAAAACTATATTCCTGCATCACTTGTGTAAATGAGTACCAGTATTTTCTAGATGGATGCAGAGGAGACCATGGCTGATGGTGTAGTGTGGCACAGGGTGGGGTTCCTGGGGAGCAGAACACTGCCTTTGCTGGGGGTCCTGCAGGAGTTGGGGGGCAGTGACCTGGAGGCATCAGGGCTCCACCTCCTTTGCCATCTTTCAGTAGCTGGGCAACTTCGACAGGCAGCTGAGCCTCTGACGTGGTGTCCTCGACTCAGAAAGGGAAGGTGGAAGGCAGCGATGGTTACGACCTGTCCAATCCTGCTGGGTTGTTTCTCTGCCACTTGGGACTCTGTGTAAAATGTGTGTGGGAGAATCAGACCTTTCAGTTGAACCTTGACTTTCAGTCAACTTTTTGTTCTGTCCTAAAATTGGAGAGAAAATGATCTTGAGGGGCATGGCTTTAAGAGGTGTTGACTGGTGACTCTGTGTGGGATGAAGAGCTGGTTCCTGCACATGATTTCTGGGGCCAGGGTGCCCCCACCCCAGATTCTCAGTCTCCTGACAGCATTTCAACACAACATTGCTGTTTGTCCTTTGGTGCCTAAATGGGGAGACAAAGTCTGAGATTGTTACTTTAACAGGAAGGAACTACAAACAAATAGCAAGGCATAAATCTAGGTTTGAAAATAAACAGTCTACACAGACAGCTCCTTCAGCTGCCTCCCTGTGAGTGGAGTGACAGGTCACCCAGCTGCCTAGGGCCAACAGAACCCCTATCTGTCAGTCTCACTGATTGCTCAAGGCAGATCGCTTGCATCTCCCTGGAGCCTGGGCCTGCTCAGCTGAGGTGAGAGCTCACCTTGCAGTCTAGCTGGTGTTCACCTCATCTTTTTCCTCCCACCTCCCTTGGCAGACAGCTCCACCCCTGTTCCCAGCCGGCCTGGGACTGCCTCAGCACTGGCCCTCTTCTCCGGCTGTGCAGGGCCCTGCACGCGTCACTACACTCTTAGCTGCAGCTGGGATCAATGTCATTTTGGGAAGCAGAAGCCCCCCTGAACACATCAGTGGGGGGTCATGAAGGGACAGATTCCTCCCGCAAGCCACACATACTGCTGCTATGTTCAGGCCAAGCCTCCTGGAAATCGTCAAAAGGGACCATTGCCTCTTTCAGATGGGCCCTCCTTAATCCTTCATTGGGAGTTTAATTGGCACCACCTTGGGGGCGCTGTGTGTTTACAAAATGATACACAAACCCAGACATTCATTAGCGCTGTCAGTGTCTTTGGAGTGATAAATAGTGGCAAGGCTCGTCAAAATGCTTCTGGAGCTAATCCCAAATTAACTTTTCTTTGCCTTGCCAAGAAGAAATATGAGAGCAATGAAGGTTTTATGATAGCCCATAATCTCACAATTAAACAAGTGACTGAAAAAATGGAACAATGTATTATACTTTAATTGAAAGGCAGGAACCAAAATAAACATGAGCGCCCCCAAGTCCTTCTGGTGACAAGCCCCAATATGCCTAAGCTTTAACACCAACTCCAGCCCACCTCCAAGGCAAGTGCACAGTGCTGGGGGTGCGTCCATGGATGGAGCGCGCAGCACCACACCAGGCTGGCTGGCATCTGCTGGTTTGCTGTCTGATCAGTTATAAATGGGCTGTCTCCAGGACTGTTTTCACACGTCCACTTCACTCCAACAGTTGCCCAAATTAAACCATTGGAATTCTACGGGTAATTGAGTTTAAAGTTTAATCTTACCTACAAGTAAATAACTCAATTCCACCAGGAGAACCACCACATGGTCTAGAGAAAATCTGAAAAGGAATGAAAGACCTCAACAGTGGAATTGCCAATGAGGGGGAGAGAAGGGCAGCGGCGGCAGGGCTGTCGTTTGCCCTCTGGAGAGTAATGTAAACTAGAGCTTAGCTTCCCCTCCAGACCACCCAGTTTTATCTCTTTAGAAAAACATTAGCACATTTGAAATGTCTGAGTAGCTCAGGAAGCCACTCAGGAGTTATTGAGAAGAGGCTGCCTATCTTTATTTTCCATTAGCAGAAGGAGACACCAGGATAGTTGGGGTACACCGAAGCAATTGCCAAAAAATTCCAGATCAATATTTTTAAATTGCATCGTAAGGGCAAATTACTCTTTTCTTCTTTCTCCTGTTTAAATTAAATTCAACTAATGCATTTGGTTATAGACGATTACAATCTGCCTATTCTGGATGGCTTCAAAGTTGAGTCAGTAAGAACTCTGGAATCGATTGTCCTCGCTATGGAATATGTCTTGCCTTTTGCTCTCCTTTCCATATCTGTGATTTTGAAAACTGTTTTCCCTTGAAAAAGAGAAGTCTAGCTGGTGGGCCTCATTTTAACAATCAGGATGGAGATTTGAGGAGAATGCAGTTCTTGGGCCTCTTTGCACTGCTGGACTTCCCTCCAGACAGGTCTGGGTGCTCTTCCATTCCTCACAGTGAGCCAGAGAAACGGCCCTGCACCACCCGGATCCTTTGGCCTGTGGAAGTTCTCCATGCTGTGTAGGCTCCAGGACACTTACCAGCCTGGATCCAGTTCCCGGTATCACTTTCCACATTCAAATATTTCCACATATTTTGTAAGAAGATGATGAACTTTATTTCTCCTCCTTCACTCTTATTTTTCTGAGTGTTCTTGCAGCAGGTGATTTGTTACCTGCGTATCTCCAGCTGTCGGCCAGGGCCGTCTCTGCTGAGCAAACCTCAGCAGCAGCGCCAGAAAAATGTCTGTCCAGGGATTTGCAGAGATCACAGAGCAGACCGAAGCTGCTCAGGAAGTCCAGCAGCTCTGCCACTAGTGCTTCCGTGGAGCAGCCCCCACTGACACCCCTGCAGTGTCCACCCTCTGGCCCTGACAGCAGCCTGTGAGATGGGTCTTCAGGTGACAGGTTCTGATGCTCCAGCAGCCTGTCTTGGGGGCTGTTCTGCACATGTACTTCTCACCCCAGAACCCTGTCCTGAGGAGGGCCCAGGGAGGGCAAGGAGGCAGCAGTGGTCCCAGTACCAGGACACCTCTCCTCTCACAGAGTTGAAGCACAACAAGCCCTCACTGTAGAGCTGATTCTAGAATGCATGGGCAGGTGGGGTGGGGCACTGAGTGTCAGGAAGGGTCTGTGTAAAACGGCCCCTCCCCAGCCTTGCCATAGCAAGGGACTGACCATGAATTTGAAGAGCCAGGGGACACCCCTCAAACTGCCTCAGCCTAGCCGACCAGTCCTGGGAAGGGAGCAGCCCACAGGGATGCCACAGCTGGGTGGACACATGGGGATGGTTACTGTCCCTACCTCGTCCCTATCCCCTGGAAATGACCCTGCTTTCCAGGCCCTGGCCTGTCCCTGGTCACTCCAAGAGCTGACAAAGTGTCAACTGGACAGAGCAAAGAAGAATTTTTCTTTGCAATTTCACAGTAGGATAAAGAAAAGAGATTTGGGTCTTTATCCTCCTAGCCCAGTCTGGTCTGGTCAGGGAGGATCAGCGGGGACCAGACTGTGTGAACTAGTCTGTGACTGGGGACCCAGCTGTCCTGAGGTCCCCATGATGTTTAGGGTCTGCCGGCCAGGACATGGAGACAGCCCTACACTTGCCAATGAGCTGTGGCCTCTTGGGCAACTGCTTCATCTCCAGGATCCCCAGCCGGGCATAATTATTCCTTCCTGGAAATAATAGTGTGGTGGCAACCAAGAGTAGTGGTCCCCAACTTTTTGGCACCAGGGACTGGTTTTGTGGACGACAGTTTGTCCATGGGTGGGGGCGCATGGGAGGGGGCACAGGCTTAGGGTTTCAGGATGAAACTGTTCTACCTCAGATTATTGGGCATTAGATTCTCATAAGGAGCGCACGATCTAGATCGCTCGCACGCACAGGTCACAACAGAGTTCGCTCTCCTATGAGGATCTGATGCTGCCACTGATTTGAAAGGAGGCTGAGCTCAGGCTGTAATGCTCCCTCACCCATGGCTCACCTCCTGCTGTGCAGCCCAGTTCCTAACAGGCCACAGACTGGTACAGGTCCCCTGATCAAAAGCATGTATTGAGCAGTGTTAGATAAACCCTAAACATCAAAACATGTTAGAAACTAAGGAGAAGGTTGGGAAAAGGCACCCAGAGGAAGAAGTAATAATCTACGTGTGTGTTGCTGAGTCTCCATGGAGCTTTTAAGCAGGGGTTCTCAGACATTAGTGTGCATTAACATCACTTCGAAGGCTCCTCAAAGGGCACACGGGTGGGCCCACTCCAGGAGCTCCTGACTCGAGGGTGGGACCCAAGAATGTGCATTCTAATAAGTTCTCCAGCACTGCTGGGGCTGCTGGTCTAGAGGCCTCACTTTGAGAACTGCAACCCTTGTCTGCCTGCCTGGGAAAAGAAGTGAAATGGCTCCTGGGCCTCAGAGGAGCTGGATTCAGGACCAAGGGCTGCTCCTAGTCAGGACCTATAGCCACCACCCTACCTCCCTTGCCACACCCCCTGCCCTGCCGTGGACAAGCCTAGGACCTGGTCTCCGCAGCCCTTTCGCTTGCTTCAGTTGCCCATCCATTGCTCCTCAGAAATGGTCCAGTGCCTCCCCAGCAACACTTACTTCTCCCCCATCCTCCCTCCACCTGCAGAGACTCCTACCTCCTGCTTGCCTGAGAAAACCCAGCCTCCAGTTCACTCTCCAGAAAAGTAACACTCGGAGACACGTGCAAGATCATTGC